GTGCGTGCGTGCGTGCGTATGCGTGTGCATGTGTGTGTGTTTACTTACGTGTGCGTGTGCGTGTGCATGTGTGTGCGCATGCGTGCGTGTGTGTGTGCGTGCGTGCGTGCGTTCATACAATCGTGTGTGCGCGCGCACGTGTGCGTGCATGCGTGCGTAGGCTAGTTTCAGTTGCAAATTACGAAATCAATTTTATACAGTAGTGAGGGAGAGCGCGCAGACAGCAAGACCACGCAGAGTTCACACCTATCTGCTAGTAGTAGCGATTATGCCTTAGCAGAACTAGGGAAATTGCTTCTAAGCTTGTGCATAGCGCTGGGATGCACCTGCGAGCAGCAGCGATATGGAGATAGCGGGCAGGATGCAGTAGCGTGTGCGTAAGTGCTATCACTTTAGGCCAGCGTTATAACAGGTTGGGGTGGTGGAGGGGTGAACTAGTTCGTATGGGAAGTCGTTTGCCTATCCGCGGTCAGTTCATCTTCATTAACATCGCAGGAGTGGGTGGTTGTTCGACGGAAAGGAAAGGAAAAGGCGATCGACTCGGGTGGCCCAGATGGTTATACATATCCTATCCCTAGCTCTACGGATGTACCCCTTTTGCTCCCTTCCCAGCGGGAGCGACAGGGCTGCAATGGTAGAGCTATCTTATTCCCAGCTGTCATATCCAAGGGTATCAGAAAAATAAGTATTCGTGATAATCATGTCCCTAGCGTTTAGTAAGGAATTTAATGGCCATTTGGGCTGCCATAATCGACAGAAAACTGGAAAATGCCGTGCCATTTGTCACTGTAAAGTACGTCTCTGTCGTTTATGAAGAGAAAATGCCCGTGGATTGTGAGCTACGTGAGTACTTGTATGGGTGAGTGTAAAGCTAACCAGCATGCCAGTAGCAGTTATGACGCAGATAGTCTAGGCTAAATAGCAGATATGTTCCAGGTAGTTTAAACTGGGTAGCAGGCATGGCTCAGTTTAGCTCTACCGGTGTAGTCCCTTTGCTCCCGCTACTACAGCAGGAGCGAAGAGGGTACACCAGTAGAGCTAGATCCAGATGAGAGACCATGGGACTAAGAGGGTTTACTAGAATCCCACCACTCCACCACAGAGTCACCGCAGTAGACGTTAGATGAGCGCTGTCGCTCCGCGGCACTTGTTATATATACAAATTTTCCTAAACGCTGCCAATACGCCATTATACATAATACGGTAGCTGTAAGCTAGAAACACGTTCAGTAAGTTCTGTGGTCGTCTTGAACACGTCAAATACGTCTACATACATCAATATGCGTTGGAGATAAGTTACACATAGGTTCAAAGCACGTTACTCGTTACTCAGGTTCGAAATAAGTTTTGGGTACGCTAGACATTATCTCGATGTATTTCGACTTATGCGTAACTTACAAGTAACGTGTGTGAACGTGTGTCAACGATCGCATAACTTACCTACAACTTATGGCCCGCGTATGCGGGACGTATGGGCATACGGTGGCATACGTCGAAAAATGTTGTGCATGCACAAAATTTGACGACCTCGCCGTACTACGACGTATACCAGCGTGCTTCAGCGTGCTCTTAACTTATACAAAACTTACCCATAACTTATTCGACGTACGCCAGCGTATTCACCAAATTTTTCATACGTCGGTATACGCTGGCTTTCATACGGTGGTGTGACAGCGCCATTAGATTGCTTACACTGAAAAAAAATAAAAAATAAAAAAGGTGCAGAATATCGGTAACTTTGTTTAAGTGCCATCTGATTTGCAGTGATTCTTCCAAAAGATTGTACCATCAAAAGTTAGGAAATTACAGTTGTTCTTTCTTATCAGAAAGGCAGAAATTTTATCAAATATCCATCAGAAATGCATGAGCATGGGCATGTATCAAACTACCTTATCTAGCTGAGAGAATCGGCCACAGATTCAGATCTATCCGAGGTTTTGGCCTTGTAGCTTTATTTATGGTGCTTCGTTAGTATTGGATTACAACTTGATCCCTCAACTGCAATTGTTGGCAATTAAAATTGGCAGCTCACTTGACTCTCGCTGTCATGGTAGACCAAATAACGGTTACCACGTTTTTTCCACATCCGAAACTTTAGTGACAATGTAATCGGAAATCTGGGACTCAAGTGGTAATGAGTACGGTCTGCGTGGGCAGCAGATTCAGATAATTTGTACAAATCAGGATTTTGTGACAGTGTAGTGCCTGATTGCATGGGAAACATACATGTAGTTTTGTGGACTGAGAAAATCAATGCTGGCCGGAAATCAGAGGCTGAGGGTGTCATTGACATTGTTTGAGAAAATTGATTTTTGAGAAAAAAATTATCAGAGTGATATATATGCCTTATCTAACAAACGTTTTAATGCCCTTATATATAACAATATCAGCAAGAGCGTATAAAGAAGGAGAGCGTACAACGGTAAAATGTTGAAATCATGTTGCAACTTATTAGTCGAATTAATAAACTTTTCCCGTTTTATTTTGACGATTCTTTGCAGTATTCTTGATCAGCTGTCCTACCTTGTTAATATAAAACAAACCGCATGTCCCCCCGCATATTAACAAGGTAGGACAGCTGATCAATAATACTGCAAAGAATCGTCAAAATAAAACGGGGAAAGTTTATTAATTCGACTAATACTGCAACATGGTTTCAGCATTTAACCGTTGTACGCTCTCCTTCTTTATACGCTCTTGATATCAGTTAGAGATGAATCAGTCACAGTGTAGTATGGATTATGGAAGCAATGCCACAAGTAATAATAGTGACGAGCATATTTTGTAAATGAAATTTCCATGATTATAATGGAATCATCTTGGAGCTAGACTCAAAATGCCTAGCGTCTGCAATACAATTAAATCCCCTCTCCTTCTTTGCTTGAGTACGATGTATAATTAAACTAACCTGTATGCACAACATTGAATGAATTCTTTTGTGACAAAAGATGACTTTATTTTTAAGTCGGTCTGTGTATTACTAATTAAACATAACTAAGTAAGCTGATGCAGGGCATGAAATTAGCCCAAATGTGAACAGGCCCACCCAGAATTTTAAACAGGCCCGTAGACAAATTGAACAGGCAAGTTTGAACGGGCCCTTAATTTTGTTCAATGTATTCCATTATTAATAATTTGGTATTAGTTTTGTGTTCATTAGGCATACTCGTAGTATTTCACTTTCAGTATTTCATTGCTATCAGTGGAGTTCTACTTGTTTGACAGGAATTGCTGGAACATAATTTACTTCTTATTAGTCACTAAGTAAAAACTAGTCAGGAAATTCGTAAATATTGTTGATATAAAGCAAGATAGGCAAAATTTTGTATAGGCTAAGTGGACTGATTATATGGGGGGTTGAACCTGCGGCCGTCAGCAAAATAGCGCTAATTTCGCGCACTGCTGGTGTACTACATTGCCTGCCATATTTACTTTTACATAGAAACTACTACTTTTTAGACTGTATTGTAAGTAGCTGAATAAATAAACATTAGGCGGTTTGTGTGAGTGTAAGCGTGATTTTCACTCACGTGTTTGAAATATGATATTGATAGTAGTAACGATGTTGGCAGGTTTTATATGCGGACGTGTAACAGTTTTCTCTCTCGATATTAAAGTAAGCGTAAAGTACAACAGCTTTGCTCGGCTACAAGTGTTGCAGTAATAGAAGTATTTTTAAGGATCGTTGCTGCATGGTGCACTACTTTCATCCATTCACCATGTTTTATGAGTAGTTAAAGCTGGTGTTACAGCAAGTAGCAGTGGGCATAGAATGGCTTTCAAATATCAATCATTCTTCAATGGGGAGATTAACTTCCGTAGCTGCCCTAAATGCAGTCCACTCATTTATTAGTACACAACCGGACTTCATGTTAATCTGATTTCTATGGTCCGGCAGCCATAACGAGTAGAGTGAATCTATTGCCACCCTTAAGGGCCGGACACACTAGGCGATTTTAATGCGATCTAATTTATCGCCCGATTCTATCGCGCGAGTCGAGTGGACAGTGGACACACTAGGCGATTGAGTCGTGCCACTGAAATAATCGCTCGATAATATCAAAACGTTTTTGATCGATGCGATTGAATCGGGCGACTAAATCGGGCGACTAAATCGGCAGCGACTGACTGGACACATTAGGCGATTTTCACCGGCGATTGAGTCGCCCGACTGAGTCGCCTGATAAAATCGCCTAGTGTGTCCGGCCCTTTACTGCAGGGGATTCTGAGACAAGGCAATGACACCTGTCCAGCTTTGATGGTCGCTATAGGGTTGACAAACTTGACACATTGTCACAAGGAGACATTGTGACATGCATTCACGAGCACAGTACGTTGGTGTCTTGGTGAGATATTATAGTCATAAAGCGTCCATAGCTAGACAGGTATTCATTGGTAAAGCACTGTTTTGACAGCACTGTTTATGTACACAGTGCACATCCATTGCCAATGAGTCACGAAGGCGGGTGAGGGGTGGGGGACTTGCCTGCTCTAGCCAGTTTTGCACAAACACGGCTCTGGGTTTTACCGTGCAACTGCGCAAATCTACTATTGCTCACTGAAAGCAAGTGATGTAGGTGTGACAACCGGCAATCGATACTACAATAAACTTGCGTGGAGTCGCCGCATTTGTTGCCAGAGTGTTTATAACCCAGCGATCATGCAGAGTCTACGGAATTCTGATGTGTAAAGGCAATGCCTATACCCCTCCCTCCTTTGGTCGCATTTGTTCTGAATGGCTTCTTGCGTGATCTTGATCGTTTAATTTTTAACAAGGCACTTATTTGCGTTCTTTTCTTTATGCACTATGAGATTATGTGCTCAGTGTTCAGTGTAGTTGTTGTGTATTTACGGATGACGTACACGTCGTATATTTACATATGAAAGACGTGTGTTTGCATGCACTTTCTACACGTAGTGTGTGTGATACACACGTGTGTATATATCCACATGCAGTGTTGTATACGAGTGCCCTTAAAAGTATTTCCAATCATCTGCAGGGAGAAAAGAACAATGGATTTGATGTTCTGTACCACAACATGAAGCATGGCTACATATCGAGTAAAGAACTTGCTGACTTTATCAGGGACAGGTAAGAAATTTACTGTATGCAAAGTTAAGAGTTTTAACAATGATGGACTTAAACTTAAAGGCTCACAATGCGCATCCAAACGCTAATTACTCCAGTACTAGACTAGCAAATACTTCGTGGCATGCATAATCACACTACCTTATGACAAAATAAACTCTAGTTCCTCCCATTTCACTGCACGCTATCTTATAAAAGGTATTTCGAAAATACCTCCAATGTTGTGGAAATTCTCCGATGTTGTTGACAGTTTCCCCAATCCCCAAGCAACTGTGCAGCGGTGCTGCGGTACAGCGGTACGGGCGCAGCAAAGATAAAAACATGTGACGTCACGTCACCACTTCGAGGCTATTTTGTTTTGGCAAAAACAGTCGGCGCGTTTAGCCAGGCCAGGAATGTCCTAGTTTTTTTTCCGACCTGCTCATCTTGTGTGTTTTTAAGCAAACCTCAGTGAAATGGCGAGCCATAGAGTTTATTCTGTCATAGAGGTAAGTGTGATTAGCAGACTACGAAGTTACTCGTACTAGTCTAGTACTGAGAAATAGCGTTTGAGCGCATTTGGTGAGCTTAAGTGTTGAGTTAGGGTGATATGGATCAGGGATATGGGGATAAATAAGTAAGGTTAAATTTAACAATAACTTAACGCTCAAGGCCTCAACCTCCTCCCGCGCCCCCGTGGTTGAAGCAAGAGATTCCGAATCTTTCGGGTTCGATATATGCGAAGAGAAAGTTTGAGAAAAGGGCGCGAGTTGCGGATAGATAGGCTCTAGAGGGGTTGCCTTCGATAGTGTGCACATGGGAGTGAAACATTGACGTGCGTGCTGGGTACTTCCAATTCATCCGTAGCATTCGTCCCAGTGAAATCACTCTGTCAGCGGCTGACTTGATGTCGTGATCTGCATCGAGTTTGACAGTGTACATGGCAGAAAGATACTCGCGCTCTGGCACTGGTCCGCTCAGCGCAAGGTTTCTTTTTTTAACCGAGCAACAATAGTTCTTCTCCTCATCACTGCACCGTTTACGAGAGCGTTCCGCGTTTACAGCAGGCAGGTGTCGTGCCCGCTAAGTCGCTGAGTGTCACAGATGGAGAAATTTCTACTCGCGCCCCGCCCCTGCGCGCCGCGCCCGTCGTTGTAAACTAAGCGCGTATTTTGTCGGTGCGGACGTCTCGGTAGTGGCATTCGATCGGGTCATCGCCCAACAGACCGTTTAGCACAAGCGTGCGTGCGTGCGCGGTGCGTGTGCGTGCGTGTACGTGTGTGGCACGCGAGTGTAGTATGCGGCTGTACATGCATGCTCGAGGGGATCGCACGTGTTTGTACATTCGTGCTTCGGCGTTCCCATGCGACGTTTGTGCAGAAAATTCACCTGGACTTTTTTTGTGTTTTTTTGTGGCGCCAGGTGCCAGCATGCGAGGAGAACCTATGGCGATGACATGCCTCGCGAAGCTACCGAAAAGCTGCGGCCAACTCCAGTCCGCGTCGGTAGTGCGGTGTGCCATTTCTAACCTCAGCACACTTTCACCGTAATGTGGTTGCTAATTGTGCCCTCACATGAGAACTACTTCGCTTGCTTCTCGCTACTTGCCTCCGCTCTCGGACTCGCTTGCGCGCGTTCTCTCATCTCCTTCCGCTCTCTTTCTTCTCCCTCAGTAGCTCTCTCTCGTCTCTTCTCTCTCATCTCCTCTTCATCTGCTCTCTCATCTCATTCATATCTCTCTTGTCTCATCTCCGTCTGCTCTTTCTCCCCATCTCTTCCTCACCTCCGCGCTTTGCCTTTCTTTCTCTCATATTGTCATCTGTATTTGTAACGCTTCTTCCTCTTTCCTCCTCTTCTCTAACTCTTCCTCTCGTCCTGACCTCTATCCTATCTCGCGCTCTCCGCACCCTTTCTCCCCCATCCTCATTCTCCCCCGTCCCCCTCTCTCACTGCCTTCACGTTTCAAGCCTTCTCTCTTCCTTCCCAATCATGTGCCCTCGCCCGTCCTCCACCCTTCCTCTTTTCTGCTTCCCTTGCCTCTCGTCTCCACTACAGTCTATCGATGCGCTGTAGGTAATGTTGACAGTTACAAGATAGCAGCCGCTAGCCATTCTCTCCATCCTGTCTGACGCTACAAACGTGTAAAAATTTAGCATGTTTCTAGAATCTAGCAGCTTTTGCCTAGTGTGTTACGTATTGTCGTGTTGATGTGGCGTGTGCGTGCGTGCCGTGGTATGCGTGTGGCATGCTGTGTGTGTTTTACTATACGTGTGCGTGTGCATGTGGTGTGCGCATGCTGGCGTGCTCGTGGCGTGCGTGCGCGTGTTGCTGTGTGTCGTGCGTGCGTGCGGTTCATACAATCGTGTGTGTGCGCGCACTGTGTGCGTGCAGGCGATGCGTCTAGGCTAGTTTCAGTTGCAAATTAGCAAAATCAATTTCTATGCAGTAGTGAGGAGAGCAGCGCAGACAGCAACGACCACGAGAGTTCACATCCTATCTGTCCTAGTAGTGAGCGGATTATGCCTTAGCAGTAACTAGGGAAACTTGCTTCTGAAGCTTGTGGCATAAGCGCTGGATGCACCTGCGAGGCAGCAGCGATATGGAGATATGCGGCCAAGATGCAGTATGCGTGGTGCGTAAGTGCATCGAGTCTTAGGCCATCGATTATACAGGTTGGGTGGTGGACAGGGTGAACTCAGTTCTATGGGAAGTCGTTTGGCCTATCCGCGGTCGAGTTCATCTTCATCTACATCGCATGAAGTGGGTCGGTTGTTCGACGGAAAGGCAAAGGAAAAGGCGATCGACTCGGGTGCCCAGATGGTTAACATATCCTATCCCCTGTAGCATCTACGATGTTAGCGCCCCTTTGCATCCTTCCCAGCGGGAGCGACAGGGCTGAATGGTTAGAGCGCTATGCTTAATTCCAGCTGTCATATTCCCAAGGGTATCACGAAAAATAGATTATTCGTGATAACATGTCCTAAGCGTTATGTAAGCGAATTTTCAATGCCATTTTGGGCCGCTCTAAAATCGAGCGAAAACTGGCCAATGCCATCCATTTTGTCAGCTGTAAAGTACAGCCTCTGTCGTTTATGAAGAGAAAATTGCCCGGGGCGGATTGTGAGCTAGAGTGAGTACTTTGAATGGTGAGGTGTAAGGCTAATCCAGCATGCCCAGTAGCAGTTTATGACGTCAGATTAGTCTAACTAAATAGCAGATATGTCTCCAGGTAGTTGTAACTGGTAGCAGGGCATGGCTAGTTTAGCTCTACGGTGTAGTCCTTTGCTCCCGGCTACACCTACACGCAGAGCGAAAGCAGGTACACCAGTCAGAGCTTAGATCGCAGATGAGAGACCAGATACCAGAGAAACGTCGCCTTGAGAGTATTGCATTCTTGCCCGCTAAGCGGCGGATCGTTGCGGCGGCTAGTTCGGCGGCAACGGCGCCACGCGACCGCTGAACGTCTATCGAAAGTATCACGGCGCTGGCAGCTATATGATCTCGGCGGCCAAATTCGAAAGGCCGGCGCAGACGGATCAATTGCTGGCCAGCGCAACAGTCTCCGAATTTGTAAGCACGGTCTAATTCACTAGCAACATAATGCCACACGCCATCGCGCAGGTTGTAACCGTAATAGGGCGATGTTTCAGCGTGACGTGCATAGATCAGGTCCGTGTATTTGTATGTGTTGTGGTTGGGCAGAAGCGAAGGCGTGCTGGCTTTGACATTTGAACAGTATGAATGACGACATGTTTCTGATAGAAAGCGCTGTTATGCATGAATGTAGTCGCACGTACACCGTGCGTGGTGGCTGCGCTGCGTGTGCACTGTACACGGTGCGTGTGCCGGTACCGGTGCGTGCGTGCGTGGCGTGCGTGCGTGCGCGCGTGCGTGCGTGCACTGTGTCCGTGCGTGCGTGCGGGTGACATAACACGGCGTGCATGAGTGTTGCGCGTGCGTGGTGGCACGTACAGCGTGCGTGCGTGCGTGCCGTGTGCACGTACACGTGCGTGCGTGCTGCGTCCGGGTGTGTGGCAGCGTACACGTGCGTGCGTGCGTGCGTGTGCACGTAACACGTGGCGTGTGCACGTACACGTGCCGTGCATGAGCTTCGGTGGCGTGTGCACGTACACGTGGCTGCGTCGTGCGTGTGAACTTACACGTCCGTGCATACGTACGTGGCGTCCGCTTGTGTGCACAGTACACGTGCGTGTCCGTGCGTGGCGCGGCGTGTGCAGTACAACGTTGTCCGCGTGCGTGCGTGCGTGCGTGCGTGCGTGCGTGTGGCAGGTAAGCGTGTTGCATGTGTGCAGTGCGTGCTACGTGGCGTGTGTGGTGCAATACACGTGCGTCGTGGCGTCGCGGCATGCTGTGCACGTAGACGTGCGTGCGTGCGCGTGCGTGTGCACGTTGACACGTGCCCTTGCTTGCGTGCGCGCGTGTGCACGTACACGTGCGGCACTAGAGTGTGCGTGACCGTCAGCGCCCACGTGCTGCCGTCTGCTCGTCTGCGTACGTACGACGTGCGTGGCATGAGTGTGGTTGTGCACGTACACCGAGTGGCAATGCGTTTCGTGGCGTGTGCACCGTGACAGATGCTTGCATGAGTGTGTGTGTGCACGTACACGTGCGTGCGTGGCGTCCGCTGCATTGATTGTATCGGAACAATATCACGCATCTGCTTGCTGCCAACCATTAAACTCCGCATGTGCGCATATGACGTCAATGTTTATAAACATGAAACATCGCTATTGCATGAGAATCACTGAAGAACTGCTCCATCAATCACGCGAAACGCAAGAGAAATTCAACGATGGCGAAATATACAGCTGTGTTACACACACGCAGCTAGGGCCTGCATAGCTCCCAAATCCCATTGGTTGATACAAATCATGTACCTCAAACTCCTGTTTTATGGTACATTGTGACCCTAACCCTAACCCTAACCCTATAAACCAAAAAAAATTATTTGTTGTTATTAAATTGTTGTAAATAAATCATGTAAATATGGATAAACATAGAAAAATACAGAAAACAGGAAAATAATGAAAAAACAGATGGGATTCGATCCAACGACATATCAGCCGTGTCGTCTCTGCTCTAGGCGTTCAGCTATTGAGGCATTGGGTTTTTGTGTTATGGATGTGCCTTGACAACACTGTGGCGTCATTGAGGAGTTTGAGGCACGTGATTTGTATCAACCAATGGGAATTCGGAGGGCCACGTCACCGAGTAAACATCGTGAGTGGCATTCGGTGGGTGTAGCCATTGAGGTAATTAGGGTTATTTACGTTTTATTATAGTTTTTCGTGCACTTTTAAATCGCAAAAGTTTTCAACGATGCTAGATAGATAGTCTGGCCAAGGTGGTCCATGTGCATTTAGGCCAGTGGTTCTTAACATTTTTTGAGTCATGGACCCCTTTGAGAATCTGGTGAAATCTACCGACCCCTCCCCAGAAAAATGCACATAAGGTGATTACGGACTAAGGATGATTTAAGGTGCAGCTACGGATTCCCTGAAGCCCATCCACGGACCCCAACGGGGTCCATGAACCACAGGTTAAGAACCCCTGATTTAGGCAGTGAACTTCGCAGGTAGGTACTGAGGAGCGCATCAACCAAGCTCGAACAAGTACGACGCTAGCAGTCGTGTCACGAGATACGAGATCGCAGTGTGCAGAATACGCGTCCCTTCTTTTCTCGCTCGTCTACATAAACAGCTTATTGATCAATGACTGCTTCCTCTGGGGGAACCGTTGTCAGAAACATCGTAAAGTTAAGGCTAATGTTAGGACTATTGTTAAGACTAATTTTGTTTCTGGCAACGGGCCTCTGCCCAGCGGCGAGCACTTCTCGAGCAAAGCCTAATTAATACGCTTGCATCCCTGGAAGGAAAGGCGGCGTCGTTATAACGCTGTACTGGGGCAAATAGGGCTCGTCCCCCGCCCCAGCATTGTGCAATCAGCTGAAATCTCCATATTAGAACCTCTCTTAATCAGTCGGCTGTGTTTCTCGAGCCTGCACTTTGCTAATTACCGCCGAGTAGGCGGAAACTTCCCAGCGTTTCGAATAGATCGTAGCTCGGGCGTTAGAACGAATGCGGCCAGTCGTGGTCGAATCACGCAGGGTTATTCCACGTCGCAGAGTTTTGTACTCAAAATTGTTGCCTGTTCTCGCCTGTTGGATCAATATTGTTCGAGAGAAAGCATGCGGAGTTGATGATATCGCGCGTAAATATATCAAAGCGGTTTCGTGTTATTAACGAAACCTTATTTTTGGGATTCGATTGCGAGCGAGGTACGCACGCACGCACGCACGCAACCTATATTTAACTGATGTGTATTGCGTGTGAATGCATGTACGTATGCGTGTGTGTTTTTATGTGTGCTCACGCGCGTGTGTGTGTGTGTGTGTGCGTGCGTGCGTGCGTGCGTGTGTGTGTGCATGTCTGTGTGTGTGCTAGTTTCTTTCATTTCTTGTCAGAGCTTGAGATTGAAAACTATCGGTCGCATGCTGAATGAAAAGTATTGTATCCCCATCAGCATGCTGTAATAACGTCTAAGCAGATTTTCTCTCAGATGCGGCTCAAATCTCCTGCTGGCCACAATTTTTCAGCAAGGCACGCTGTGGCGTGCACGTTGCATTGTACAGGTTGTCCAAGTCCGAGTTTTGAAACATCGCACTTTAAAAAAACGTCAATACTCACACGTGCTCAATTGCGTTTTAACCAGGGGTGAATAATGACTCATAATTAATAATGACATCAGGGAAAAAATTTATTTTTCTGGGGATACTTTTCAAGCTCGCGTGCATGAAAATAGCACTCTAAAATTTGGTTTGCATTGAACTCTATGCAAATTTACGGGGGCTCTTTTTGGCATTACCGGGGCTCTTTTTGGCATTTCGGGGGCTAAATCGCCCTGAGCCCCTGTGTATTTTTTTCACTGAATGACATAATAATGACAAATTGTGACATGATAAAATTTGTCATTATTCACCCTGGTTTTAACGATTACGAGCGTGAACTATGAACAGCAAACAGAACGTACGTGTAAACCACACCATGCATCTTGACCCCATCGAACTCACTTATCAATCCCATTGATACTCGACATACACTGAAGTTACGAAGGAAACTGTTATACGAAGGATACAGTTATGCTATTACCCCCCTCCCCCTGCACATGAAAGTTACGTAGGCTAGGCTGTCTAATCTCACTCTCTGCCTAACGTTTGTGAATATTATTGCTATGTTATGTTATTGCTCGTAAAGATGCGGTATTAGCGCGAGAGAGAGAGTGACGCAAATTACGCAGAGCCCAATTATAATTGAATGTTCGTTACATCGTACATGGCAATAGTAGCATTCTCCATGTGATATGGCGCGGGCGTTGTGCGAGGGGGGAACCGACTTTTCCGTGCATTGCGACACAGAGTAGAGTAATCGGCGGCTAATTGGCTTGCCGGATGGAGTCTTTGTGCGGAGTCTTTCGCGCCTCGTTTACTGAACCGATTCGGCGATGGTGTTAAAAGGTTCTCTGTCACTCTAATGCTGTGAATTACGTGGAAACATCCCTTTTACTCGGGTTGTGGATCCGTTTGAGAGATGAATCCGTGTTATCGTGTACATTAAATAAGCACTTTCGTTAAAGATGGCCATGCATCACGTACAGCACAAACTGTAGTTGGCATCTCATTCTCTTTTTCCGCTACGCAGGACGTTTTCCCCGGTCTGGCAGATATTGAAGAACTCGTCCGAGCGACTCTCCGGCCTGCATATGGGTTTGACGCACAAGTTCCAGGAGATTGTCAAAGACATCCAGAAGTACAACGAAGAGCAGCATAAAAAACACAGAAGTGTAAGTCTGCAGTTGACGGCGTTATAGTACGTGATCTGACAATCTGGTTGACCGGTGATTCGTTGAGGGCATTCTTGTGACCTGCCACTTTGCTCATCCGGTTTAATTGGTAATGTGTGAGCTGGCATTCTGGTTGAACAGTGTGAGGGTTAACATGGGAGCTGGCAGTGGCATGCTGGTTGACTAGTGAAAGAGAATGTATGAGTTAACATTCTGGTTTAATGATCGGCAAGGTAATGAAACTCCAAAACCCCGCAAATATGTATTTGTGTCTTTTCTTTGACCGACCATGAACTGATATTGGGTAGGTAGCTTGATATCTGATGTCAGTCTGGTGACCTATTAGTTTTTTTCAGAAGTACTAATTATTCGTTGTGCACCCATTTGCACAGTTCTTTTTAGTGTTTGTTTGAAAAAGTTCACTAAAAGCCGAAAGCATAAAAGTTGGTATGGAGGTTTATGTGAAAGACAAAATTGTTGAAGATGCCAGAAAGTTAGAAGCATTTGGAAAGAAAGAAGTACATTAAATTTTACATTTGTAATAATAATTTTTGTGGTACTTAAAATGTTCATGTTAAAGTTATGGTGATATTGCAGATTGAGTAAGTCAAAGGATGGTTGAAAACATTATTTCTGTAAGATTTATACTGCAAATAAATAGAGAGACTGTACAAGTTGATTTCCTGGTTTGAGATTAAGCGGTTGGCGCACATAAAAAACCGACTATCACTCATCTTATCTGTGAGAAATACAAACGTGATGTTGCTCCGGCTATGTATGATGTCATGAGCAACTTTAACGACTGGGTGTAACGTCCGCCGAGTTTGCAATATTCCTATTTGTCTGGAGTTTTACCTGTTAGACTTAAGCTGGGTTTACACTATGGAAACGTCAACGAGTTGATATACCTTTAAACTTTGAGATCAGATGTTCAAAGTTTTTCTGTTGTTGACTGCGAGTTGGCAAACGTTTCAACATTTGATCTGCAGTGTGCGCATGGGGCGACACGGTTACACATTTTTGTACGTATTAATTCGCGGCAGTGTGACGCCGATAGCAAAAACTTGATGAACTTGCTGACGAAAAAAGTTGAGAAAATAGAACATGTTCTATTCTCTCAACTAGTTGCTATCAACTCGTCAACTTTTCAACACACAATTGATAGTGTAAACCCAGATTTAGTTTGTGAGCTGTCTACTCACAACTACTTGTGCCTTAATTACCCAGTTACTAATCTTTGGGACAACGAGTAGTAATAATGCATTGGTCAGTACTCCCAATTAAAAGCATATTAATAGTGTATACCTTGTATCATCAGAATTTAAATCAATTATTCCCTTGATCTGTTTCTAAAAACATCACATACATAATAAATTATATTAATTATGTTAAATAAAGTCAACAGTCTTGGGGTGAGATATACGTCACGTGTGAATCACCGTGATGTTTCCTCGTGGTTCATTCCAGACTGGAGTGAGAGCTGTGCCGATGAATGATAATTCTATTTGGATTTCGATTTTGCATTCGAATCTCTCGACATTTTACGTTAAAGAACAATCAATCATTGAAGAATCTTCCTCTTCGCCTAATCCTTGGCTATAGATGGTTAGTGCACTACTGTGGGACCTACCCCTGTGTTTGCGGGCACACGCTACAATAGCGGCATCTAATTCAGTGCACAACCTTTCCTCGCTTGAAATTTCCAGATGAAGGACCAGGAGTCTGGCACCCTGGAAGTAGTTCAATCCATGCAGCAGACAACACAGCTAGTGCAGAAGGTCAGTGTTTGTGTTGATCGTAATGCATCGTAGTACAGTCTGTACGACGACCTATAACGTGTACGACTAACGTATCTCTTGGCTGAGTCGCATGACTGTACGTTCAGCGGAATGCCATTCTAATGAATTAATGCTGACGTGCTGTTAGCTGTGTGTGAGTAATGGTCAGTTATTAGTCTCTAGGTATTTGTGTAAATATGCATGGTTTGGTGAATGTGTAGCCATTGACTCGTGTTGGGCAATTACGATACGTACATGTCATGTGTGTGAGTTGGGTGATGTATGGACGTTCTTTTATTGTCTTTCTAATGGGAATGCGTGCCTGGTGCCTAGGAAATGTCGTCGAATACATAGTTCTTAGCGGTTTTTATATACTGAAATGATTATGATTCGCATTTGATTGAAATAATTTTACAGTCTAAAGAGACCTACACAGCCCGATGTCTTGAATACGAAAAGCTGAAACGGGATGCGGGCACATCACCGAAAGATTTAGAAAAGGTATACTTGCAATGATGTCACTGACACACAATTGCATCTTATCAGTGCGTAGTGGAGGCAATCACAATACAGCACTAGTTACGCATATTTGCATAGACACTAGTGACTGTCACTTTTGATCTGGGGTAAATTTAACAAGAAATTTAACATTCGATTGGACGTTTTTCGCCGGTTTCTAGAGGAAATTTTGTGGTGTTTGAGCTGCTATTTAGAGTTAACGATTGCTAGCTCTAGTTCTCAGGCTGCAGAACGGTTGAAGATTTCTATCTTATATCTCACAGAATTTGCAGAGTGTGGTAGGGGTTGCAAAACTGTGATCACAATGTCAAAAAATCTTTAGAGTCTAAAAAGTTCAAAACATAATCTTAGTCAATGAAGTGTTGAAAGTTGAGATGATAATTATGCAATTTTCATATTGTGCAATATTGCATTGCAACTTTCATTGAATGATTATATGAAAATGTCATAGGACTGCGTCGATAATATCAGGAGTAGATAATAGGGAGGAGTGTGACATCAATAAACAGGGAAAGTTCGTCATTTACTAGGCCCTATAATACTACGATTTACTACCGTAATGCATCCACACTTGAGTCAAAATCGGGACACAGTACATTCGCCCAATCTCCTGCGAAATCGGTTCCTCGGTAGACACCGCACCCAAATCCGTAGATACAGCCTAAAAACGTACCGACACGATTCTCCATTCTCTGGCCATCATCCAACCATTGCGCGCGCTATAATCCAAACAAAGGCAGCTACCTATCGTGCGCATGTGCTAACGAGCGGAGGCATTGGTGGCTCGCTGGGAGATTAGGCATCAACACTTCGGCGAGATAACTTTGACGCCGGTACACAGACTACACAGGGCCACCTTTGTAGCATAGTTGGCAGCTTCACCACGCACAGCCCAACCAAATGATTAGCTCGTCGAGTTTGCCGCTCGATCTCAATCTCCCTGAGAGCCACAACGCGAACATTCAGCTTATCCGAGAGAGCAAAACCACACGAGCGACTGCGCACCAGGTTGCTGCTTTTGTCTGAATTATAGGTGTCGCAATGCGTGATTAATGGCCAGAGAATGGAGAACGTGTCGTACGTTTTAGGCTGTATCTACGGGATTGCGGGGTTACGAGAGACCGATTTCGTACGATGATGGTGCGAACTGTACTGTGTCCGCATTTGAGCTCAAGGTTGATGCAGGTTACGCGAGTAAATCGTAGGTATTATAAGGGCTAGTAAAATGCGAATTCCCTTGTTTATCTGAATGTCACACTCCCCCTATATATCTAGCTCCTGAATAAGTATAATGCTAAAATTGCCTCAACCGGATTAATTGTTCAGTTAAACATCAATAAAAACAGACGTCTATATCTATGTATATAAAATACTATATAGATATATGAGTGAATAAAATCCTATAGCATGGATCGTAGAATACAATAATTTTCAGCGTAATTATGCATTATTTAAAAAGTAGAAACCAAAAATTTCTAGCGCCCTGACTAGTACTGAATGCGGCGTCTGTATCCTTTTGCATGACAGATTCAGCTACTTTTATGACTTTTAGTCTCCGTATGCAGAAAGCCAGTAGAAGTAGGAGTTCTAAATAACAAATTGTCAGGCATTTCATGTGGCACTGTGCACAATTGATGTCAATCGATGTTAAAAACTTCACCGAAAAGCAAACGTCGGGTCTTGAATATCGATGTACCCTGCAGACGTAGCGATTTGGGACGATGCAGTGCTAACATGGGCTGTCTTGCACACTATGACTGAATTCAGCTTTAACCATTGTGGTTTTGTGAGTGAGCCACGCTGCGTGCGTTGTCACGGAGTTTTGTATTGTAATGATCACGCAGCCGTAATATATCGTGATGACGCCTCTTCGCTGCTGTGATTAAAACGTCAAACATCCTCAGTATTTGGCAGTTCATTTATTAAACGAGGTTATGCTCTTATTACTGGTATATATATATCTATTTATTGGTAATTTCTCCAGGCCTGACAGTAAGTTCAAAGAAAGGCTTTAGATGAGTACAAGCGTATACTTGGAAAAAAGTACAGCAGCATTCGGACAGGAGTTTTGAAAAAAAAGAATGCTGGTATCGTGTGAGGCGATGAGTGGCATTATAGATCTGGTACTCGCCATAAAGTTATCGCAGTGAAGTTTACATAATGATAAGCGATATCTAATCATTATTGTAAACTTATATTATATATATATTATGTGTAAATATGTGTAATGGGAATGATTCACCTGCTTACCAAAGCTTACCAAGCTCACCAAGCTTACCAGCCTTACCAAGCTCACCAACTCTTCCAAGCTCGCCAAGCCTCACCAAGCTCACCAAGCTCACGCAAGGCTCACCAAGCTTAACCAAGCTCACCAAGCTCACCAAGCTTACCAAGCTTACCAAGCCTCACAACCTTCCAAGCTCGCCAAGCTCACCAAGCTCACCAAGCTCACCAAGCTCACCAAGCCTTACCAGCCTCACCAAGCTCACCAAGCTCACCAAGCTCACCAAGCTTACCAAGCTCACAAGCTTAACAAGCTCGACCAAAGCTACCAAAGCTTACCAAGCCTCACCGAAGCCTTACCAAGCTCAACGCAAGCTTACCAACTCACCAGCTCACCAAAGCTCACAGTACTACCAAGCTCACCAAGCTTACCAGCTACAAGCTTACCAAGCTTAGCCAAGCTCCACCAAGCTTACCAAGCCTTACCAAGCTCACCAAGCTACCAAGCTCACAACCCACAAGCTCACGCAAGCTTACCAAGCCTTACCGCGTACAGCTTACCAAGCTCACCAAGCTTCAAGCTACGGAAGCTACCCAGTCCAAGTCCAGTCCAGTCCGCCACAGATCTCAGTCTAGTCCAGTCCAGTCCATCCAGTCCAGTCCAGTCCAGTCCAGTCCAGTCCAGGTCCCAATGCTTACCAAGCTGTCCAAGCTCACTATTGACCAAGCTTCCATACCAAGCTTACCAGCTTACCAAGCCTTACCAAGCTACCGAAGCCTACCAGCTCCGCAGCTCACCAAGCTCACCAAGCTTACAAGCTCACTAATGGACCAAGCTTACCAAGTCCCTTCGGATACCCAAGCTCAGACTATTGACTCAAGCTCAGACCAAGCTCGACAAGCGTCACAAAGCCTCACCAAGCTCACCAAGCTTACCAAGCTTCACTCAGCTCACACAAGCCTCACCAAGCTTACCAAGCTCACTCATTGACCTAAGCTTACCAACAAGCTTACCAGCCACCAAGCTCACCAAGCTCACCAAGCTCACCAAGCTCACGCAAGCTCACCAAGCTCGACCAAGCTTACCAAGCTTACCAAGCTCAGCCAAGTCACAACTTACCAAGCCTCACCAAGCTCCACCAGCTACCAGGCTCACCAAAGCTCCAACCAGCTTACCAAAGCTAGCCAAGCTTACCAAGCTCACCAAGCTTACCAAGCTCACCAGAGCTTACCAAGGCTTAACAAGTCCAGTCCCAGAGTTCCAGATCGCAGGCCAGTCCCAGTCGCAGTCCAGTCCAGTCCAGTCCAGTCCAGTCCAGTCCAGTCGCAGTCCAAGCTATCCAAGTTACCAATCCAGTCCAGGTCCAGTCCAAGTCCAGTCCAGTCCAGTCCAAGTCCCAACGCTTACCAAGCTCATCCCAAAGCTTACCCAAGCTAAGCTACCAAAGCTTACCAAGCTTCACCAAGCTCGCTCACCAAGCTTACAAGCTCACCAAAGCTTAGCCGAAAGCGTACCAAGCTCCAGTCCAGTCCAGTCAGGCCACGTCCAGTCCAGTCCAGTCCAGTTCCAGTCCCAGTCCAGTCCAGTCCAGTCCAGTCCAGCTTCCAGTCCAGTCCCAAGCTCGGCCAAGACTCACGCAAGCTTACCAAGCCTCACCAAGCTTACCAAGGTCACCAAGCTACCAGCTTACCAACTAAGACTCACCGAACCTTCCAAGCCCCACGCGCCAAGCCTCACCAAGCTCCCAAGCCTCACCAAAGCTTACCAAGCTTACAAGCTTTACCAAGCTCCAAGCTCCGAAGGCTTTACCCAAGCTTACCAAGCTCACCAGCGTCCACTCACAAGCTTACCAAGCTCAACCCAAGCTCTACCAAGGCTCACCAACTACGCTCACCAAGCCTCACCAAGCTCACCAAGCTTACGACAAGCTCACGCACAAGGCTCACAAGCTACCAAGCTTCACCAAGCTCACCAAGCCCTATGACCAAGCTTACCAAGCTCACGCAAGCCACTATGACCAAGCTTACCAAGCTCCACACACAGCTTCCACGCAAGCTTACCAAGCTCACCAAGCTTAACCAGCTTGCCAAGCTCAGCTCACCAAGCTTACCCAGGCTTCCAGCTACAAGCTACCAAGCCACCAAGTCAGCGCAAGCTACCTCACAAGCTTATCAAGCCCCTTACAACACTTACCAACTTACTCAACTCAACTCACTTGCCAAGCTCACCAAGCTTACCAAGCTCACCAAGCTTACCAAGCTCACCAAGCTTACCAAGCTTACCAAGCAGTGAATGTTGGTTGACATACCTAAAATCAAGCATAGAATCATATGAAACAAAAATTCTATTTTATTTCCATGGCATAGGTGCCAACAATATTTCTATTTCCGTGCAACGAAGGGTGTACTTGGTTATAGTTTTATGTTATATTAGTTATTAGATATACTTTTTAGTTATATGATACATAGTTAAAAACATTTGCAGATCAACTGCTTCGCTATATTTTGGAATTCATTGTGTTTTCCCTATATCTGTTGGAATTCTTATATGCCTTCTTTATATGTGAGAGTTAATGATGTTATCTTTATATCTGAGAATCCTCTGCATATCTGACAGTCCATCGATCGTGCTTTCTCTATGTCTGAGAATCTGTTGTTTTTCCTTTGTCTAAGAATTCATCATGCTTTCCATATATCTAAGAATTCATCATGCTTTCCATATATCTAAGAATTCATCATGCTTTCCCTATACCTAAGAATTCATCATGCTTTCCCTATACCTAAGAATTCATCATGCTTTCCCTATACCTAAGAATTCATCATGCTTTCCCTATACCTAAGAATTCATCATGCTTTCCCTATACCTAAGAATTCATCATGTTTTCCCTATACCTAAGAATTCATCATGCTTTCCCTATACCTAAGAATTCATCATGATTTCCCTATACCTAAGAATTCATCATGATTTCCCTATACCTAAGAATTCATCATGATTTCCCTATACCTAAGAATTCATCATGCTTTCCCTATACCTAAGAATTCATCATGATTTCACCATGTCTGAGAATTCACGTTTTTTCTATACCTTAGAATTCCTCATGTTTTTTTCTTATAACTGAGAATCCTTTGTGTTTTTCGTGCACAGAATTTCCAGGAGGTAGAGATTGAACACCTTCGTAAGATGAAGTCCTTCATCGAAACGTATGCAAAAAGTGCGGAGAGCAACCACACCCTCATACAACAGGTAGTATAGCAATCTCCATAACCTGTCATCCTTAACAATGCAGCCATACGTTGGTAGCTGCTTCCACTACTTTCCCTCCATAACAAGCTAAGAGTAGCTGTAGCGTCATGTAATAGTTGGTAGCCCTCGCCGAATGAGATCGCACTACACAGGGAATGCAAATCGCACTGTGTTTGTCTCTTCGTCTCTAGCTGATACTCCCCCACGCGTCTCCTGGAAGATCACTTCTTGCTGTCTTTGCGCACGTTCGGTCGTCCTTTAAATGATGTGGCAATTTCTATCCACTGCCATAGGATGAATGTATTGTCTGTCGATTAATCCTTAAGCCTCATTTATTTGCACGGTGTGATCACTGGTGAGGCCGCGCAAATCTCGTTTATTCGTTGTTGTGAAATGTCGAGTTATTTGAAGCGTTTGCCTCAGAGGTTGTCACCGCAGAAGCTTGTTTTGCATTAAGCGTGTTTCGTTCCCCTCGGATGACTACAGCCGTCAGTGCGTGTGTGTGTGTGTGTGTGTGTGCGTGCGTGCGTGCACGTGCGTGCGCATGTGCGTGGCTGTGTTGTGGCTATGTTAACTGTGTGTGCCTGTGACAGGTACATGTTGAGTTCAAACAGCAGGCAGACGAGCAGACTGTGGAGAAGCTAGTTGATCAGTTCATCCTCGTGAAGTCGACGGGCATTGAGAAGCCAGGTATGTGTGCGTGTCTCCTGTGTACCTGCCTGCTACTACACCGTGTCTTCGTACATCTGTACCCGACCGCCTGCCTGAGCGTCTGCTTGTGCATTCTTCGTGCATATATCCATGTCCAACGTAACGTCTGCCTGTATCCACTATCTCTGTCTTAGTCTGTGCTTGTATTCTGCCTGCCTGCCTTCCTGTATGCCTGCCTGTCTGCCTGTCTGCCTGCCAGCTTGTCTTCCTGCCTGCCTGCCTTCCTGTATGCCTGCCTGATTGCCTGTCTGCCTGGCTGTGTGCCTGTGTGCGGCCTGCCTGCTTCCCTGCTAGCTAGCCTGCCTACAACAATGAGCCATTCATCCAAATCATGACAAATAATTTTGTGTAAAATCATTTCATAATACCAGCTTTCCTATTATATAAGTCCATTGTTGTCCCATGAATGTCCACGTGATGTTGCTAGTGTAGTAAATTATTATTCATATGATTATAAAAGTCATTAATTTCCATTACGCTATGATATTTGCAAGTGCTAATGAAGGTTAAAATTATGCATGCATTGTTGGTATGGGGATTGATATTGTAACTCATGTTACTAAATGTATCAGCGTCATCTGGCTCGTGTCCAAGGTCATCAAAATTGTCTACCTTTTGTGTAATGTTGTAACATGTGCTTCATACTTGAACATCCCCGCGGTCGCGTGCGCATATCCCGCGGAACTGCGCGTCTCATCCGCGCGCAGCGCTCAGGATCTACAGCAAAGCTGTGTCACGCAATCTTGTATCATGTCTCTCTGGATTAATTATCCTTGAGCAATGTGGCTACGCAGCAAATTTGCATGCATGCTAATTTGGCGATTGTCCACTGGATGCTCTATTTTCTGTGTGAATTCCTGTTTCAATCCATTTTTTCGAGCCTGGCAAATGCCAGCTGTATGTTTTATTCATGAACCTGCTTGAATTTCAAAGGTTTTACTTAACTCACTCTATGGAGCTGCTGTTCAATGAATAATGACAGCATTTACCCAATGGCAGTGTCAATGCAACAGCTGACTGAGTGAGGGTGCAATTCTATATGTCAGTGCATTCAGTTTTTCGATAACTAAAAAATGAAGGTGTCGATGTAAATGTTATATAATGCATTATTGAACTTGCTTTTATTGCAAATCGCAGGCTTTGACGAGCCTCTAGGTATGATAGCCGTAACTCTTTGCTTCTCTTCCTTATCGGCTCACACCCTGTGTTCTAGATGTTAGTAAGTGTTGTTAGACTGGTGACGAATGTGTTTGCTTGGTTATCTGGTGATTATATTAGTTGTTTTTTCAGTATCGCTTGCCGTAGTAGTCGCCAGTCTAGGTGCCAAACCATGAGCTCATTTAACACCCGTCTTTACAATGCTATTGTCCATGTAGATTCCTCTCACGTCCCCAGCACCAGGAATATCCCTAACGTCTGTTTATAAACTTTCACGTAGCTAGTTGAGCTTTTCTTTATGTTATTTTACGAGTAAGCTTAGTGGTTAGTCACTGTTAGTGTAACTTCGTTATTTTGTAATGTTATTTTAACTGTTGTCAGAAAGATCGCAACTGTGTAACAGTTACAAGTCCTAGCAAATTTGCTCACAATTCATTGATATCTATTGATCGTAACTGCTAAACGGCGATGCAAAGAACGAAATTTCAGAAGGAACTTTGTCGAAGAAATACATTGATATTGTATTTAATATTGCCCAGTAAACCCTGCACTCTTCATGAAAGTCGCATCCTAGACATTATTCCTGATGGCATATCAAAACAAACGTTAACAAAAGTGGCCATAGTTTTCTCGTTTGAAGGCACGTTAGCATCCTGTGATATTCCATAAGACACCACTTATAGTGTATAGAGATGCAGGATTAATCTCTCATCCAGTCTGTGACCTTATGATCAAGTTCCAGTTGTTGTAGGATAGCTGAGATGCTACAATATGTTTCTGACAATGCTGTAATTTTGGGATACCACGAACATAACTATACTAGTATCGATGTGTTCATGCTGATATTAGTCATAGGTTTTATTGTGGTCCCTAATTTAGTTGTTAACACTACGATAGTTCTGCCTACAGCCCTCTGGTTTCTACATGCACTGCAGCTGTTTTATTTCCTGGCAAATCGAGGCAGCTGGCTTAGTGGACGTTAGTATAGCTGAAGTATGGTATATTTCTGATGATAACTGACAAGTATAGACTCGCGGTAGCATTTCCTTTGTCCACGATGTTTGGTGTCATAGTTAATTTTTTGTACCTGAAAGTGTAATGAGATAATATTCAGTTGATTATGTCATTGTTTTATGTTGATCAGTTGTTGCCGGTTAATGTTTAATGTTATTGTTATGTTCTAATATTTTGCCGACTCTTCTTACAAATTGTTGTTATGTTACGCTCATTTATAATGTCGGTCAGCCTCATCTTCGCACATTTAAAAATGGCGTGATTCCAATTATTTCAGGACCGATTGAGTTTGAAGAAGTTGACCTTTCCAATCTACCACCAGCGCCCTCACCCGACCAACAGGAGAAGATCAACGTTGCCAATGACAACAAAGCGAAAGAGAAAGGTAGGGAAATGGAGAGGAACTGCAATCAGGGAGCACTGCCGGTCGGTCGGGGACAGCGTGCGTGGAATCGTGAGGTTTTAGCACACGCATTAGTGACAGACGCATTGGGCAATTGAGAGAGGTTGCCATCATCGTTCGGCATCCAGACGGCGAGACAAACTGTCCGAAAGTTTGTGAATGTATTTGCGAAGGTTATTGCTGTTACACTTGTCGCTTTCCACGTGAAGTGTTGACATTGGTGATAGCGGAGAGGGATAATGCTGTCCTGCAGTGCATGTTGTCTGTGCTGTGTAGAAATAACCCTAACATGCAAAGCTATCGCTATGAACTGCTCTCTGTTACACAGTTTGTCTTTGTCATGTCATGTTGAAGCTATATTATGTAGAAACGTAAGGAGATTACGCATAGTTGTTTGCACTAGTTCATAAGTCTTGCATCTTATCTCTTAGCAGTCAGACTGACAGATGTGACAAAGTATGTTAGGTATAGATGGCATCTCATGACGTGTAGAACTTAGCTGGTTGCGTCACACTTGATAAGGTTTATGGTTTGTGCCTCACGACATGGAAAAGTGTGTGTGTGTGTGTGTGTGGAGAGGGGGGGGGGTGTTACATCACAGTAGGTCAGGTGTATTTGCCGCCTCGAGGTGTGGTTATGCTAGTGTGTTACGTCACGGCCGGTCAGGTATTTCAGGTATAGGTGACGCTTTACGACATTTGTCAGATACAAGTGGCGCCACACAATGTAGAAAAAGCAAGCGTGTTGCATCGCAGTGTGTCGGGCATAGGTGGCGCCACATAGCGTTGACATTGAACAATAGTTGGCCACGTTCGCGAATTCCTGACCGGGAGAGCGCGGCGTTCGGTTCTTATGCCATCCGACGTTGCCGTCGGATGCACGAAAAGTTTCCGAAAGTCGAATGCGCAAATGACGACCGCTTTTGCCTTTTTGAAATCTCTAGGCTTGCAACGGCGGAGGGAAATCAACAACATTCACGAGACAGCGGCTTTTGGGCGCAATTTGTGTGAGGAGCCGATTTGTTATCGATGTGTTCTATCACTGACGTTAGCCGTGGACCCCACCCATCTTTCTGTGTGTGTGTGTGTATGTCTCTCTCTCTGTCTCTCTCTCTCTCTCTCTCTCTCTCTCTCTCTCTCTCTCTCTCTCTCTCTCTCTCTCTCTCTCTCTCTCTCTCTCTCTCTCTCTCTCTCTCTTTCTCTCTCTTTCTCTCTCTCTGTTTGTCTCTCTGTTGGTCATCCGCCTTTCAATGTGCGACAAAATGTTTCCGAGAAAAGGGGGCAGTGGAGAAAACGCGTAATTGGGCCGCGGTTTCGCAAACTTGGAAGAAACAAGGGCCTGATTGGGGAGAGCGGGCATATGATTACTGCAGACCGAGAGAGAGGCTGACGGAGAGCTAGCTAGAAAGCTGATGCGGAGAGCAGTCGTGCATCCATAGCGTGTATATGCTGCACACCTGCAGTAATTAACCAGTAGGTGGCATTTACTGTAGAGGGGGGGGGGGCAGAGAAGCCGTTTGGAGCAGACGCACAAATCGGATCTCCGCCGCTATAACGATGTACTTACTCTGCCCTAATAGAGCTAGAATGAGCGCGTTCACGGGCTGTTGTTGATGTCTATGTATTGCGCACGGGGGTTTGACTGTGTCCGTGTCATTGCTGGATGCGTGCGTGCGTGGCTGTGACCATCATGGCGCCACCATCTCTCTCTCTCGCGCGCGCGCTCTCTCTAACGGTCGCTGTGTTTTTTGGGTTGCGTAACTATTCGGGTTGGGTGCAATGGCGCTTTTTATCTCGCTCTCTCTGTCTGTCTGTCTGTCTGTCTGTCTCTAACGACCGCTGTGTTTTTGGTGGCTCTCGTTTCAGGGCAACTCAACACTAGCATGTCTAGCAATGGGCAAACACCAGCCAAACCCATGGCACGGGGTGTCTTACGAAAATCTAAATCATGTAATGTAGCGTCCGTATTAACACTTCTCACGCAGTAACTAACTCGCTCTCTCGGTGGTTCATCTCGTCTCTAGTAGATACGTGTCATAACGGGGCCACTAATGTACCTGTACGTATATATATATATATATATATATATATATGAATAGTTGCAGGTGGATATGTGGCCCCATTATTTCCCACTTATTTTACTCACACATTTACTAACATAATAACATTAGACTCTACTGCCACGTGTGTGCCTGTGTGCCTGTAGGGAAAATAAGGGCTTGTTCTATCTCCCTCCCTCCCTCTCTCGCTCGCTCCCTCTCTCCCTCCCTCCCTCCCTCTCTCTCCATCCCTCCCTTCCCTCTTGCGCTCTCTCTCTCTCTCACTTTCCCTCTCGCTCGCTCCCTCTTGCTCTCTCTCTCTCTCTCTCGCTCTCTCTCTCTCTCTTGCACGTGCAAATATCTCTCAGGAAGTTCATGATATGCACAGGATTGTAACTCGAAAAAGACATTGGATATGACATTTGGGTACCCAACTATGCAAAGGTAATAAGAATAAATGTAAAAAAAACGGGAGTGAGCGCAGAGGAAGGAACAGCTTGCCGGTGTGGACCGATCATAGATGGCTGGTACTAAAAGCGCATAATTTATGGGCTATTGGTGGTTCACATCACAAAAATTTTTCTGTGAAATCATCCAGCTTCAATCAAGCCAGGGTTCAGTCAAAGGTCACATGTAATTTAAATCAGAGCGAAAATCGCAGAGTAGACCCTCCCACTAGCATCCGTGCTTTGAAGCTTTAGAGATTCACCGTACCCTCTAGTACGATCCCATATGTGCAAGCATTCGTCCAGTGCAGCTATTTGCAAGTGTAGATTTGTGCGGAGGGGAGGAGTCGGTACAAGCCCTCAGTCTATACACGTCTTTTTCTCTCACTCTCACTCTCTCTCTCTCTCTCTCACTCTCACTCTCTCTCGCACAGCTTTGTTGGTTGGTAGCAGTGGTTGGGTAAATCACACACGCGCACGCGCGTGGGCACACATGCACGTGTGCACGCGCACTTGCGTGAAGGTCTTCTGTAAATGGTGGTGGGCTGCAATCCTGGGCCAGCAGGCTGGCCTAGCACTCTGTAGAGTCGTCGTACACTGTAACTGCTCTGTTCCAATCTCTTCTCACTCAACACGCGAGTGTATGCCGGCCGCGAGATGTATAGAGCACCTATAGATAAGATCGGGCTCGCGTGCTCTCACATCTTCGAGTGACGACGACCTAGCTGCTTTGCATTTTCGGTAGTGCCAGTAATTCGTAAGTGAGGCTATCGTTGGATTTTGCGAGTTGCCGTAGCAACCATGCGCTTCGAGTATTGTTTCACATTCGCTCCGGCACCGGCAATGCTGGTAATTAATAAACTAATGAGAATTCGCTCTTAATTCGTTGATGATTCATTAGAAAGCGCTTCTCTGACTGTCGCGAGTGTTAACATCAGAGGGAAGCGTGCGCCGTTGGTCCGTGCATGGCGGCATGTAGCCACTTCCACAGTGTAACTCCCACGTCCCATCTATCTCACCAGCCATCTGTGTGACAGCCACGATGCCTCTCTCTGAGGGGTTGGTCTATATTCAGGCTGGTACAGGAGATAATTTGCATATTTTATCACGTGGTTTGTGTTATAACCAATCAGTTGTAATCGCGTGTTCGTGACGTCACTTCCAGCTGTGAAGAAGATGGTGAAGGAGGAGGAAGGGGAGAAGGGAGAAGGTGGTGGAGAAGGAGGAGGGGAGAAGCTGGTGGAGAAGGAGGAAGGGGAGAAGGGAGAAGGTGGTGGAGAAAGAGGAGGGGAGAAGCTGGTGGAGAAGGAGGAGGGGAGAAGGGAGAAGGTGGTGGAGGAGGGGGAGAAGCTAGTGGAGAAGGAGGGGAGAAGCTGGTGGAGAAGGAGGAAGGGGAGAAGGGAAAAGGTGGTGGAGAAGGAGGAGGGGAGAAGCTGGTGGAGAAGGAGGAGGGGGAGAAGCTGGTGGAGAATGAAGAAGGGAAGAAGGGAGAAGCTGGTGGAGAAGGAGGAGGTGGTGGAGAAGTGGTGGTGAAGGTGGTGGAGAAGGGAGAATGTGGTGCCAGGGAGAAGGGCACCTCCCTGCCACCTTCTCCACCACCTCCTTCTCCACCACCTCCTCCACCAGCTTCTCCCCTCCTCCTTCTCCACCAGCTTCTCCCCCTCCACCACCTTCTCCCTTCTCCCCCTCCTCCTTCTCCACCAGCTTCTCCCCTCCTTCTCCACCGCGATTACATCTGATTGGTTATAACACAAACCACGTGACAAAATATGCAAATTATCTCCTGTACCGGCCTGAATATAGACAAACCCCTCTCTGAGACTAACCTGTAATAGTGTCGGCATTGCCTAGAATGCCTGAAAGCATTTCTCTCGATGACATCGGGGTTACTCTGTCAGTTAATACTCGCCTAGTTCTCATTATGTATCCATGTTATACTACTATACTACTATACTACTATACTACTATACTACTATACTTCTACACTACTAAACTACTATACTACTATTCTACACTATTACTATACTATTATGATGTGTAGATGGTGTAGATATGTCGACCATGTATTATATGTGTAGATGGTGTGCCCGCCTATGTAGCTGGCATCCGTACCTTTGTAAACTGTGACCTCTCCTTTGTGAGTTATGGGTCTACCTGTGTGGACTGTGTACTCACCTGTGCGCTCTATGTGTGAACGTACGTCCCTGCGTGCGTACGTCTGCATGTGTTTGTGTGTGACCGTGCGTGCGTACATGTGTTAATTGTTCACCCGTGTAAACGATATGTCTACAGATCGTACCAACCTCTGTGTATTGTGTCCAGTGGGCAGGGGTTAGATAAAAATCCTAAGGGTTACCAAGGAGATAAAGCCAGAAATATATAATATATTACTCAAGGTAAGATCAGAGGAGATAAGATAAGATAAGGCACGACATGATCATGTGGGATACGATAATTAAGAGACTCACTAATTAGTTAATTGAGTTGAAACAGCAGCAGGCGGCCATTAACGACAAGAAAGGGAGGATAAAGAGGGGTTTATAGTCTTACACAGGGAAGAAATACAGGATAAAGAGGGGTTTATAGTCTTACACAGGGAAGAAATACAGGATAAAGAGGGTTTTATGGTATTATCCAGGGAAGAAAGACAGGAAGAAGAAGATTTTATAGTCTTATCCACTGGGAAGCAATCATGGTATCATATTTGTATGAACTCTGCGCGAGGGTATCTCTGGGTGCTAATGCTTGTTGGTCACGAAATCAACATGCGCTCATTCAAAACGATTTGCCTTTAGCCCAGTGCAGTTATAATATAGTAGTTATAGTCCGCTCCGTTTTAAAAGGGGGAAAGTGGCATTATTAAGTTCTTTTTAAAGACATACAAAGACCTTTATGAAGTTGGGGGGACTGATATTTTGAACTATAGATGAAGATGACTGAGTAAACAACTCTGATAAAACAGGGTATATAGTTAGCTTAACCAGTGTTATGTGTCTATGTCTATAGATGCGTTGGTCGCTTACATACAGCACTTATACTAACGAAGAAGTCTACATCTATCGTGTGACTTGTGTACTCTAGCATAGCGGACTGTCTTATATTCGTGTCACTGCTCTTGTATCGTTTTTGTATTTGGATTCTAATCTGTCTCGATTGCGTACGTGAGGGTGTGTTCATGTGCGCGTGTACAACAACACACAGCAAGTGTAGGTTGGCTCTATGAACATTACTAGAACGGTAACGTCTGAGATTCTGGCAACTAGCCTTTCAACCGGCCTCCATTCCACTATGTCCTGATATCTAAAATAGGGGAGAAAAAAACTATATAATAGAGGCGAGAATTTTTTAAACGATGTACTGCATCTGTTGCACTGCGTTTAAATGCAAAGAGCTAAAATCTTAAATAAGTACAGAGGCGTAGCCAAATCATTTGACACCAGCAAACCAACTCGAGGGAATGTCAAGACCACAGAGGCAATTTTATTTTCTGGAGACATTTTGTCGTAGACATTGAAAGATTGCACCCTTGCTATATGTGATCTACTCGCTCAGTGCAGTTGATGTTGCAGTTGCGGCTCTCTTTAAGCTAAGCTGTCCTTGATTTCAGACTCAGTTCTCTACTTTTATATAAAATCTCCTGAGATGACTCTTCTGACTTTAATTCTACTTGTATTGCTGTGTATTTTTGTTGTGATGAGTAGTGTAAATGTCTATCTGTGGCGCATCTAGCTATCCGTGTGTGGCTGTATTTTGTTGTTTTTCTCGTCAGTACGCACGTCTTTGTGAGTCTACAGTCGCTTATTCACCCTCTCCCCCACATATATATATATATATATATATATATATATATATATATATATATATATATATATATATATATATATATGTATATATATATATGTATACGTCCACATTCCTTTTGACCTCAGCAATCCCTCCTCTGCTCCCCTCATGATCTCATCTTTCACATCATCTATTTCATTATTCTCTTATTCATTTCTGCTGACATTGTAATGTGCTATTTGACCTTTTATGTCTCGACGTTCACTGACTCGTGAACTACCGAATCAAAAGTGGTATTATACGCAGAACAAATACTTCAAATCGTCCTAGCCGAACGCTGTTATCATGCACATTTTTCTGTACCAGAACTATAGAAGTAGTAGGCATAAAATTCACACACAAAAATACTTTTTCGTTTGCTTCGAGACGGGTAACGCATTTTAGTATGATTGGCTCGTGGTTGGCGAAACCGCATTGTTTTTGTTGAGTGAAGATTGGCTCGCTTGTGGTGGCGTGTTGCATTTTGAACGGCCAGCATCTCGGTTGCATGATGGTGGCTGTGATATCTTTGTGAGTTTTATGACTTGATGGTGACCAAAGGATTGCAAGTAACAGGACACAATAAACATAAAAAAGCGCCCATGACCACCTGGCTCGGGTAGTACCCATGCCATCTAGGGTATTTGTTCAGCGTATAATACTTTAACATACCTCATTTGTCTCGATGGTCTCCAATAGCATCATATTTTACTCCCTCCATCGTGATTGTCCCTCTCTCCCGTGTTTTGCCGTCAATGTACCGCGTCCCCCACCTCTTCCCTCAAGGCCACTGGTCGCCGGGCTTCCCCGCACCCCAAAAACCCTCTCCCATACAAGGCACTCTCGCGACTCTTCTCTAGGGTTCCTTTCGCGGACCAAACGGGAGAAGAAAAAGAAGAAGAAGAAAGAGGCGGCAGCCGCGGCGCAGGCGCACGTGGAAACGGTGGAGAAGAAGGAGGAGGACTGCTGCGTGAATGATGCTAGCAGTGAGGTAGGTACTAGCAACTTATCGTCTGATCTCAACCTCGCATTACTAGCTGTGTGTAAGGGAAAGTCAACGTCAGCTTGTTGTGCTGCTCGTGTGTTTATCTAACTCTGAAGATACTAGAATTTATTTATATATATTATTATTTATTTACTATCTCCGTAGCTATATTTTCTTTAACTCGTTAGTCCTTAATCCTTATAGGTTTTTGTCAAACGTGTGCCTGTGCGCATGTGAGTAAGATTGCTGCTCGTGATAGTCGTCCTAGAAGTATTCTATTAAGGGTTATTATTAATGGTTATTCACCACACCATCGTTAGAAGACGGTGCGTTAATTGATTTGTTTTACAGCATGACTGGTTGTCTGTGCATCGATTAGGAAGCCTAGTTTTTATTTTACGTACACGCAGCGCAATAGTATCACGTCAAAGGACTCGAAAGAAAGTTCGAAGACGCCTGAAGTCGACGAAGAGGGCTTTACTATTCGACCGGAAAATATCAACAATATCCTTTTTTTGAACGACTAGTAATTTTTGGGGCGAGAATCTGACGTTCATGTATAATTTCACGGAAGGGAAAAGTGAATGTAGCAAATTCTCCGCGAGAGAGATGTGCGGAAATAACTCAAGTGGCGGTCGATTAGTGGGGGTTTGGCCTTTGTTGTGCGATATCACGGCGACCTTCAAAGCGTGTCCTTGATAGCGGAAAAGGAAGCCCCTTTTTGATTAAAACATGAACTTTCTAGCATTGACCGTTGTCGAAATGTCGACGAAAGGACACAGCGCGGCTTGTGATATATCGCGGTGACCTTCAAATCACGTTCTTGATAGAAGAAAAGGGAAGACCTCTTTTGATTAAGACATTAAATGTCTATAGCATTGACCGTTGTCAAAATGTCGACGAC